ATTACTGCAAATCATATCATACACTTCATTCATATACTGAAAAATCACTGTTACAGAACTTAGTATCAGTTCAGATAAGAAATAAGGTTTTATCTATTCTCAAAAGCTTGTCTAAAATTTTTGACACAGTTGAAATTACTTCAACACTTTCAGGTACAGCATTTTATGACCAAAGGGTATATAGAAAAGATAGTGAGGGACATGTAAAAATCCAGTGTCGGGTTGATTTCAGAAAGCAAAAGATTTTTCATCAACTTCAAAGTATCATCATGGAAGTTTCATCATATAGTTCAGGCAAGAGCTACTAATTACCTTAAAAGACACAGCACAATTTTCAAATCAATGAGAGCAGAAATTGTAAGCCAAAGAGAATTCAGAGTTAGGTAAATCTGTTGATTCCTATGAGTAAAAGCGATAATTCTTATTCTTGCATTTTGGACCAAACTGAAATTCCAGCAACACTGATGCTGGAACTCTACAAACAAAGAATGATAGTAATCCAGTTTGGATGCAAGAAGCATGAAAACCAGTTTCCAAATCTATGGGGGGCTCAGCAGGATTTAATCCTGCTACACTTCTTAGAGGATAAAATAAGCTATTTTAATCACATTTTAAATGTGTTTATCAAAGAAAATCCAAGCAAATTCCCAAATTTCTTGTAGATATATAAAACGGGTATCAAAGACCCTCCTAGAGAATTCAGTTGGGTTTTGGTTAGATAAGGTTTTACTGCTAAGTAATGTATAAAATCTTCCCGTTTGACTGGGATTTAGCTTCAGTCACCTGGAAGTCATCCAGCTTTAAACATCTGCAAAACAATTTTGCAAGTGATAAACTGCTTCATTAGGGTCAGTATGAGAGAAGATAGGTGAAATGAGCTATTATTCTCATAGAAATGGAGATGTAGGTACCAGTAGTACTACGCTTTCAATGAATTGAAAGACAGCCTTTATACAGTAGCAAACAGTAAATGGACAAATGCCGTGGTTTGCTTCTATTTGAGGTCCCAATCTTACAGTCACTAAGGTATGAGAGTAATTTACTCATGTGAATAGTCATATTGAGCTCTGATTACTCATATGTGTAAAGTTACTCAGAGGTGTAAGTGTTGCAGGATCAGGACCTAACAGGACAAGGACTAAAAGAGAATTTAATGTAAAACAAAAGTCACCAAGGTATGTGTGTGTGTGTGTGTGTTTTTCTTATTAAAAACAGCAGCAGATATCAATAAAAACAAGCCTCTACACATTTAATTGTATGTGCTTTTCAGACAAAGTTCAGCTACAGTACAGGGTTTGTTTTCCCCTCAACAAAACAGTTGGAAAACAGTTGTTCCAGTATTAAATTGTCTTAGAGAAAAATGTTAGGTCTTTTTTTTTGGCTCAGTTTGTAAAGTGTTCATCAGCTCAACAAAATGCCAAATTTCAAAGCATGCCTCTCCCTCAGCAACCTTCCAATCCTGTAAAGACACCATGTAGATTAAATTCAAGGCACTCACACTGGCTATTCTCAGTACTCAAATTATGGTAAGTCTAGCAACTGACCTGAATCTAGAGGATGACACCTTCAAATTCACTCTGCCACCCACTCAGCTATTAAATTGGCTTCCTTTAGGGGATAAGAGAGGCCCATGATTTGGTCCCTATCTGAGATAACCAAGAGTGTGACCATGTGAAATAGAATGGAGAAATGTTCAAGCTGCCTAATGATATTGGCCAGGTTTTTTAAAAAAACTGGATGCCTGAAGTTAAGCTTCTGAAGTCCTAGTTAGCCATTTAAATAAGTGGCCCAATTTTTCAAAAGTGCTGAGCACCTAGCAGCTCCCACTGAGGTCACTGGACATTCTGTATTATGTAGTGTGCTGTGTAGCACAGGTTTAAAGCATGAGTATATTCTGTGTGTGGCCAAAGAGAGAAAAGTTCCCAAGTGATATGCAGGGGGTAGTTATTCCAGTTTGAGTGTACTTGGTTTCAGATGTATTCTAATAAACTATCAACATATTCTCTCTCGCTAGACCAAAAAAAGACAGAATGGTCTAAATAATATCAAAATAACAAGCTTAAGCTGTTTTGCGAGCTTGCATTTTGTCAGTCATGCTCAGGAATGCAAGGAACACACTAATCCACTGAAAACAGACATAATTCTTTGCATGTTCTTGAGGCAAACAGCATCTCCCTCTCTGTTTAATTCACCCTGGATTGCTCTTCCTTTCCTTATTTCATATGTGTTTTATTCTAATAGGAAAACACCAGCCTGATATTGGCAAAGTTCTGGGGAAAGCTGAGAGCAAGGATTTGATCAGTAATTTCTTTATACTTCATGAATATCTGGCATGGGATTTTAAGTACATTAAGATGCATAATTACCGCTAAAACTGTTTTTTTAAATGAAAGAGAGCATAACAAAAGGTGTATAGGAGGCTAGTTGGCACAATTGTGTCAAAAGCATCACACTGCAAGGGATATTAGCGAAACCTGCAGTGGTTCCCCCCGCCAGCCCAATTTCAGATTTTTACAAATGTCACCAAAGGAACATCTTTGCAAACCCAAATAGATTTTTTTTTTTGCACACCTTAATGTAAGGAGGATTTGCAACATGTGCCTCATAGTGGAGATGAGAATGGGGAATTTTGCCTTTGGTCTCTTAAAATTTTTAGTCCATTTTCACAGCATTATACAAAGGTTTTCTATAAAAATGTGCTTAATTAAAAACCAGGACCTGATTCTCAGGTATGCAGTAACCTCTTTACACCACTCTGGCGGTTTACTCACTTGAAGTATCTTGTATACTGCCAGACTGGTACAAAAGTAAGTCTCAGTGTAAATGACAATAAGCCCCCAGAAGTTTAATTACATTTCAGAGGCTACTTTATTTGGAGGCAAGTTGGTGTTTATTTTTTGATTGTCTAGTAAAAGGGTTAAACTATTGAGAGGGATGTTTGTGATGATTCATTTGAAAAATCTCTGGACTTGGCGGATGGGGCAGATGCAAGAAATTTTTGTGAGCAAAGTAAATACTTTGTGGTTCTTTATACCGCTAAAATTCGCTCTTAAATCTTTTGTATTGGCCCAGGGTATAAAACAGTACTGGGCAAAAAGTGAAAAAACGTTGCACATTTCTGTGCAATACCATGTCAATGTGACATGTTGAATTCATAGTATGATATGAGCGATATAATGTAACTTAGATATATCTCCAAATATACTTAATCTAACTACTGCTCAAAGTCAAAAGCTTTTTTTACACATTGTTCACAGGCAAACTTAAAATTATAGAAAGCTGTCCTGGTCTTCTATGTGGTATAGTGTGTTTTTAGATTAATTCATTGGTAATAAGATAAATATAATAAGGGGGGAAAGCTGTCTTATTTATGCATCAAATAATTATTTTCCTCATACATTTTATTTGTAGCACTTATAGATCCTTGTTCAGATTGTTGCCAGCAATGAGGTTGCTTAAAGCCTGCACTTTGCCTACCTTTGTAACTGAAATTTTCATGTAAGTCTGCTTCTGATTGTGTTTTGCCAGCACAAACCTTACCAGCAAACTCTGCAGTTAGAAACGGTGGTAAACAGAGTTGTATTAAATTTAATTTGACTTATGAAAATACTTACATGATAACATTATAATTCTGTTAGAAAAACAGGTGGTGGTAACCAAGGCTATGGTGCCTAGTCTTTTTACAATAGGAGTCAATTGCAATACTTCTATTGAACTCAATAGGAGCCGGATCGTATTATACAAATTCATTTAAATGGCATAACAATCCTGTTCATGATTTAACTTTGACTGTCTTAGGTAAAATATATTAAATAGTCTCCACTAGTGCCAGGCAGATAAGGGGAACCTTTCAGTCTATCAGTTAATTTGAAATAAAGAGGACAATAGCTTGGACCGGATTTCTGTCCATCTTAATTGGACTGTGGCTACACTCCTAATGGAAAAGTATGTTTTAGCATAAAACACTTCTTTCTTTCTCTTTCTTAAACAATACTTTGATATAGATCTTAGGATAATTCAGGTTTGCTGGAGAGACTAAGAAGGTGAAATGATTTGTAAGAAGCTGAAAAGTTCTCCTGAAATAGATCAAAAGGACAATTGTGGGTAAAGAAAAAGAAAGCCAGTGAAAGCTTAATTGGATGAACATTTAAAAATATTCTTATTATCCATGTGTGATTCCCTGCACACTAGTGCATATGGCAAGGGGAAGTACTTTACATCTTCATAAAGTGACATTAAGAGTGTGTGTGCATGTATGTATGTATGTGCCAGAAGCATTTGGGGCTTTCACTCTCCTCTTTATTGTAATCTCCATTTTTCATCCCAGTTATGTACATCCTTTCTTCCTTGAGTCCTCTCTGTGTACTCCACAAGAACGATGCAACCAGCCTGCACTGCCACCAAGCCGCAGCAAGTTCCTGGGCCAGTAGTGCAGGATCCTTGTGGTGATATATGGAGGAAGAAGTGGAGACAGATGGAGCATTGAGTCAGGCAGAGTAGCAGGTGGAAGCACAGCACACAACTGATTGCTGTTGTTTGGCAGACTGTGAATTAGTGCTGAATTTCCACACTGTAGAGGCAGGTTATGGACTTGGGAATGAGAAGAAGACAAAGATCTTGTATGGTATGGAGGGGATGTCTATGTCGGGGTGAGGCATTGGAAGAGAGTCTGAGGGGAAAACATTTGGTAGATCCAGATCTAAATTTAATCTAATCCGCACAAGCACAAGAAGGGGGTGTGAAAGTTGAGTTATCCTCCTGGCCCTGAGCCACTCTGATAATTGAAAGTATTGCTCTGAAAGTGTTCAGAACATAATTCTTCAGAGGAAAGAGAGCTGTGCTTTAAGCTCTTGAGCAATACAAAATTAACATTCACAACCTTTGTTTTTGGTGAAGAAATTGGCATAATTAGCACTGTATTTGAAGAAATAAAGCAGAATAACTTTAACCCACAGAAAAATATCTTTTCAAATGTTTTCTGTTTTAACTTATGTACTCAGGAAGCTCTGTTAACAAGCTCAGCAAGGAGCCACTGAGAATCATACATCAGACCGTAGAAGAATCCACTGATTGGCTTTATGGTTTTATTTCTTTACTGTCTGACATCGTATCAACTGATGATGATGACAGTGATGAAGGTATTTGTGATATACAGACTTGTGTAACTGTGCTAACTCATGTTTTACCTGCATTATGTTGACTTACTTAATTTTTAACCTCACAGTCAAAGAAGTCAGGGAAAGAAAATAGAAGTGAACACCTTTGCTAATAAGGAATCAGCTGGCTACTAGGGTTAGAAAACTGATGTCTTTTGTTAGCTTTCATCTCTCATTTCATAGGCAATTACAGAAAATATGTCAGATTTAAATGTTACTAGCGGTGTTTCCAAGTAAAGAGGACTAATTTAGGCTGAGATGATATTTCAAAGAATGGCAGCAGCTCTTCTACATTGTTTCTCTCTACTCTATAAGAATGGAAGGATCTAGAAAATGAAAGAATTAAACGTACAGTCAAAACTTGAGAAATCTACGACGACACGTTTTTATTTGATATTTGAACAGTAGGGGATAGTATTGGTGGACAAAACACTGTAACTGGACTGAAGGGAAGTTTGGATAACAAACATCAATAATTTAACAGTATGGTCTTGGAAATGCTACTAATATGCATCATCTCATGGAGCAGTCAGATACCTTAAACCAAACACCCAACAGTTAGTCTATTTTTATAGTTTTTGAAAGAACCATCTTTTTGTAAACAGATAATCAGTTCAGTAGCATGTGGTGTGGTAACAGATGCACAAGTACTTCATATTATGTTTATCATCCTATACGCATATATGCAGTTAGGCATGATGCTCATAACAGTGTCATACCATATTCCTATTGCTTTGTGTAGCATTCCATCATAACAAAGACGATTAAAACCCAACAGGAACTTAAACTGAATCATTCACCTACTGTATTCATAAACTAGAAGTATCACCTAATTTCTGCCACTGCAAGATGTCTGCATGGGCTTTCATATTAGTATTGTGTACAAATACTAACAGATATGCTATTATATGTAGCTTTATGACTTGGGGACCCTATTCTGAGATGTGATTTACAGCCACCATAAGGTCAGTTCTTTGTGTTGTTGAGCAATAAAAAGGGTGCAATGTTGTTTCTTTGTCAATTTTTTTGAAATTGTGCTGGTGGTCAAAACCATGCAATGAGAAACATTTTTGAGTATGAGAGTGGATTGCGTCAGAGTGGACACACCTACCTGAGGATTTGAAAGGATCATAAAATGAGCTAGCCTATACCAATTCCTATATAAAAAGTTAAATCATTTAAATTGCAAGGTTCTGAATGTCTTCTGAGAGGACCTCGGCAACCCTAACTCCATTGACAGTACTCAGGGTGGAGAACAGTCAGCACCTCCCAAGAATCACAGGAGGGACTCAGCATCTCACAGTATTAGGCCCTAAGAGTCTGGTGTATGGGTCTGCTTCTTTGCAATGCTTAAAGCCACGTCACAAGTGGAGCCACAGCATTAGACTTTGGCAACAGACTGTTCCTGCTCCCACTGAAGTCAATGGGACTTTTGCCACTGACATCATTGAAAGCATTATTAGGTTTCTTTTGTTCTGAACTTCGCAAGAAGTGTCATTTGGAATATTTTCTTTGTGGTCAATGAAAATGGAATCCCTGTGCCCATTTTTAAAATATGGATTCAGGTTTATAACTAAACAAATTCCACTCCCATGTCAGTATCCGGCCACGTGTTTAACTATAAGTTCTAGAACTTTTTCTGGTGTCTACAATACATTTAACGTATCCATCCTTCTTCTTAGAAAGCCCACATAGAAGCAGAAGTGTGGGTGTAAATCTAAAATCTCAGAATAGAGTTCTTGTTACTCCACATGTTCAGTATAAAGTTTGAATGCATTTAAAAATGAAAATAAACTAGCATGGAAAAAATTAGTGGCATTGCTACCTGTTATATCTGACTGTTGTGTTTTTTCCATCTAGGTGAAGTGGAACCTCCATTGAAGAAAAAAGGTTGGTTTTCATTGTTATAAATAACACACGCTTTGATGTGTTAAATGTTATTAGGTACTTTTATTATTAAATTTATTAAATTAGTACAAACTTACTGTCTCTGTACCACTGGTTCCGTCACTAATTGCTTGTTATTCTACTAACTGTATATGCTGTATGGAAATTGAAATTGTTAGGAATGTCAAATTACAATACGGTTTGAAGTATTGTTTGTTGCTGTGCAGCGTGTTTAGGAGAAGTCTTAATTGTTTCATCATGCTGTGCATCTAAAAATGCTCATAAAAACCCAACAGCACTACTACAGTGTTATTTTAAATGTATTCTCTGCCTATTGACTTGTATTAATGTTCATTTGTGTTGCATACATGCCTGGAAAGAACAGACACCTGTTAGGAAGCAGTAGGGAATATAAAAGTATTCACCTCTTGGCCAGGTTTATAGTAAAAGCTGAAGTAAGGGCTGTCTGTATACTTCTGAAAATAACTTGTATAGTTACCATTGGAGTTTGGTAGAAAACAAAGAGGAAGCAAGTAGAACTGTGATACAAATCTTTCTAAATATTGCCATGTAGAAACACAAAACTTAAGTTCAGCTTCTGTTAACTCAAAAGGAAAATCTGTTGGAAGACCCAGGATATTGTTAATAGGATATAGAGCCCCTCATTTCTAGTTTACTGTTCAGACTGAGCACAGTTTGGTAATAATAACACAAATCGTTACCACCTGTTGATGTTTCAGTGATCTACATGATAAGAGTTTAATATCTATCAAATTTCCAATAGATAAATGTCCGTATCACGGACACTATCACTGCCACACTAAGGGTGCAATCCAGCTTTCTCTGCATTACCTGGAGTTGTATTAAGCCCTTAGCACCTTTTTTGGCAGTCTCAGCAGAGAAGTAAAGAACTGAATGGGCATGGAGAACAGGATCATCTACTCATCCTTATGAGCGATCCCTTCCTGTCAAAATTGTGGCAAACTGGTAGGCAGTATGGGAAAGCTTGCTCTCCTGTTACCTGTGATTTAGGGGTGGGATTTTTTCAGCGTTGGACTAACTCAGTTCCCAATGAAACCATTGGGAATTATTCCATTGACTTCAGTTGAAGCAGTTAGGCCACTGATGCACAGCATTACTTATCCTTCAACTGATATGACTATCGCGCTACCACCAACGCCTTTGATGAAAAACAGCTGATTGAAGCTGAACCCCAGCAAGGCAGAGGTAATGCTCGTGGGTGCAGAAAAGCATTGTGAGGCATTTGCACCCCATCATGCAGTCCTCTTCGGCTGAAGGGGACATATTCACAATTAGTTAATTCAGTCCATAGTTTAGGAGTGCTCCTGGATTGCTCACTGACACTTAAGCTTTCAGCTAGCAGCATCCACAAACAATATTTTCTACCATCTCCAGCTCGCTAGGAGACTTTATCCCAGGTGGATGTTGACCTGGACTTTGTTATGTACCCCTTTGTCACTTCCCGTGTGGACTACAGCAATATAATATACCTGGGACCAAAGCCACAAGCCCTTAAACTCCAACCAGTGCAGAATGCTGCGGCATGTCTCCTCAGCAACATAGTCTACCAAGAATACATCGTACCTGTCTCTGCTGTCTACACTGGCTTCTCATCTGGAATATGGAGTCAAACGTTAAAGGTTTCGATCCTTATCTTCAACGTGCTCAGTGACCTGGGCCCAGCATTTCTGAAAGATTTGCCAGAAGCTCTGGGATGAAGACAAAGGCAGACAATTCTGCTCCTTGGGCATTATGGAACTTTGTATCATAGCTATAAAGCTCATCTGAACAGGAGACAAAACATTCTTGGGGGCTGGTCTGAGACTATGGAATGAACTCCCGCAGGAACTAAAGACCATCAGAAACCTACTCGCCATCTGCTGCAAGTGCAAGATGTGCTTCTTTGACCTGCTTTCTCTAACATAAACACATAATAGCATGTACTTTTAGAAACAAAATCCCCAAACTCTACCAAAATAAAACATCAGCACACACATGTCCCCCCTCAGTCTTCTCTTCTCCAGACTAAACAAACACATTTTTTTCAATCTTTCCTCATAGGTCCTGTTTTCTAAACCTTTAATTATCTTTGTTGCTCTCCCCTGGACTTTCTCCAATTTTTCCACATCTTTTCTGAAATGTGGTGCCCAGAACTGGACACAGTACTCCAGTTGAGGCCTTATCAGCACAGAGTAGAGTGGAAGAATTGCTTCTCGTGACTTGCTTACACTGCTCCTGCTGATGCATCCCAGAATGATGTTTGCTGTTTTTGCAACAGTGTTACACTTACAAATTTGCAAAAAGAAAAGGAGTACTTGTGGCACCTTAGAGCCTAACCAATTTATTTGAGCATGAGCTTTCGTGAGCTACAGCTCACTTCATCGGATGCATACCGTGGAAACTGCAGCAGACTTTATATACACACAGAGAATATGAAACAATACCTCCTCCCACCCCACTGTCCTGCTGGTAATAGCTTATCTAAAGTGATCATCAAGTTGGGCCATTTCCAGCACAAATCCAGGTTTTCTCACCCTCCACCCCCCACACAAATTCACTCTCCTGCTGGTGATAGCCCATCCAAAGTGACAACTCTCTACACAATGTGCATGATAATCAAGTTGGGCCATTTCCTGCACAAATCCAGGTTCTCTCACCCCCTCACCCCCCTCCCAAAAACCACACACACAAACTCACTATCCTGCTGGTAATAGCTCATCCAAAGTGACCACTCTCCCTACAATGTGCATGATAATCAAGGTGGGCTATTTCCAGCACACATCCAGGTTTTCTCACCCCCCCACCCCCATACACACACAAACTCACTCTCCTGCTGGTAATAGCTCATCCAAACTGACCACTCTCCAAGTTTAAATCCAAGTTAAACCAGAACATCTGGGGGGGGGGTAGGAAAAAACAAGGGGAAATAGGCTACCTTGCATAATGACTTAGCCACTCCCAGTCTCTATTTAAGCCTAAATTAATAGTATCCAATTTGCAAATGAATTCCAATTCAGCAGTTTCTCGCTGGAGTCTGGATTTGAAGTTTTTTTGTTTTAAGATAGCGACCTTCATGTCTGTGATTGCGTGACCAGAGAGATTGAAGTGTTCTCCGACTGGTTTATGAATGTTATAATTCTTGACATCTGATTTGTGTCCATCTATTCTTTTACGTAGAGACTGTCCAGTTTGACCAATGTAAATGGCAGAGGGGCATTGCTGGCACATGATGACATATATCACATTGGTGGATGTGCAGGTGAACGAGCCTCTGATAGTGTGGCTGATGTTATTAGGCCCTGTGATGGTGTCCCCTGAATAGATATGTGGGCACAGTTGGCAACGGGCTTTGTTGCAAGGATAACTTCCTGGGTTAGTGGTTCTGTTGTGTGGTATGTGGTTGTTGGTGAGTATTTGCTTCAGGTTGCGGGGCTGTCTGTAGGCAAGGACTGGCCTGTCTCCCAAGATTTGTGAGAGTGTTGGGTCATCCTTTAGGATAGGTTGTAGATCCTTAATAATGCGTTGGAGGGGTTTTAGTTGGGGGCTGAAGGTGATGGCTAGTGGCGTTCTGTTATTTTCTTTGTTAGGCCTGTCCTGTAGTAGGTGACTTCTGGGAACTCTTCTGGCTCTATCAATCTGTTTCTTTACTTCCGCATGTGGGTATTGTAGTTGTAAGAAAGCTTGACAGAGATCTTGTAGGTGTTTGTCTCTGTCTGAGGGGTTGGAGCAAATGCGGTTGTATTGCAGAGCTTGGCTGTAGACGATGGATTGTGTGGTGTGGTCAGGGTGAAAGCTGGAGGCATGCATACCTCCATGCTTTCACGCTGACCACACCACACAATCCAGAAGAGTTCCCAGAAGTTACCTCTTCTGAAAAGTTACCTCTTCTGAAAAGTACTCCTACTTTTCATTTGTCGTTATTGAATTTCATCTTGTTTAGTTCAGACCATTTTTCCAGTTTTTCCAGATCCTTTTTATTTTAAATCTATTCTACAAAGCACTTGCAACTCCTCTCAGCTTGGAATCATCCACAAACTTTATAAGTGTACTCTCTATGCCATTATCTAAATCATTTATGAAGATATTAAACAGAACCAGATCCAGAACCGAACCCAGTGGGAACCCACTCGATATGCCCTTCCAGCTTGACCGTGAACCACTGATAACTACTCTCTGGGAATGGTTTTCCAACCAGTTATGCTCCCATCTTATAGTAGCTCCATCTAGGTTATATTTCCCTAGTTTGTTTATGGGAAGGTCATGCGAGACTGCATCAAAAGCCTTCCTAAAGTCAAGACATACCACATATACCACTTCCCCCACATCCACAAAGCTTGTAACCCTGTCAAAGAAAGCTATTAGGGTCATTTGACATGATTTGTTCTTGATAAATCCATGTTCACTGTTACTTATCACATTATCTTCTAGGTGTTTGCAAATTCATTGCTTGATTATTTGCTCCATTATCTTTCTGGGTACTGAAGTTAAGCTGAATGGTCTGTAATTCCAGGAGTTGTCCTTATTACCCTTTTTAATAGATTGGAACTATGTTTGCCCTTCTGCACTCCTCTAAAATCTCTCCCGTCTGCCATGAGTTTTCAAAGATACTCGCTAACGGCTCACATATCTCCTCAGTGAGCTCCTTGAATATTCTTCAGTTCTCAGGTCTATCAGCCAGCGTATTTTGTATGCACTAACAGTCTACACAAAATTCTCACTATTTTGGAAGAACCATAATTGCAAACACGCTAAAAGTTAGTTGATACCACAGTCAAGTTATTTACTGAGAAAATGTTCAAGGGAATAGTAAGGACACCACAGTAATGATAAGGAAAGAAGAAGAAAGGAAGAATAATAATGATAATTATGAGCCTGAAGAAAGCAAAGATAACCTTGACACGGATGCAAATTGCAGGCAAAGATAATAGGGATACAAATAATGACAATGAAGGTGGTACATGTAACAGGGCTAATATTGGTGTCAGTAGCCACTAGAAAGGCTTATCATAGTACATTCTTTGCCAAAATTAATTTCTTCAGCATTATCACTGATATTTATATTTAGTCACTGGAGAAGACTGAACATTTTATATTGTGCAGAAAAAAAAATGTAACCATCAGGTGACATGGTGAAAAAGTATTCTGTAAAGAGCTTTGCAATGTTTAACAATGTGTACTCAGTGCATGCTAAAATTGTTCAGCGTTTCCATGAAAACTATTCAGAAGTCTAATAATGGTTTCTACAAGACTTAATATGTTTTAGCTTTCATTTTTCTAAATCAATGGTTATAGTTGATAATGTTGATTTATGTTTCAGGGTTAGTAAAACATTTATGGACAAATCAATTTATTTGACAACTGTATGTTTAGTTTTTTTGTATCCTTCTTTTATTAAAATTTCTTGTTATAACAGGAGAGTTTTATTCATCACATCTTATATGCTTATGCCTCTGCAGTCTAAGCCCGGTATCATAGTCTGTTTCTATGAAGATATTTATTGATGAAAGCAAAATGAGACTGATAATCTTTTGAATCTTTGGGATGGGGGAGAGAGCTATGTTATTACTCTTCAACATTCTAGAACTGTAGAATAGAATAATAGTTTACATAACGCTAATTTAAAGTTAATTTTCGAATATATAGATTAGTGATACTATGTACAAATTAATATTTTTACATATGGAAGTTATTCTCAATCTTTGGAATTTAGGATATGACCAAAGGTCATTGAAATCAATAGGTCTTTGATCAGGGTTTATTTTATATTTCACAGTTTTAACTTAACATTCTTCCTTTGTTTTAGTTGAAATTCACCCTGCGAGCAAAAAAAGAGGTGAGTAAATTTTAAAGCAATCTTAGTTTAATAAAAAAGAATGAGCTTAATAATAAATTAAGTTAGAAATATCTATGCAAGTAAAGCATTGACATGGCAGTAGATGCTGGCACTGGCTGAATATTATTTAGTAGACTTTTATTGGTGTAACAGATGTTGATATACATAAAAACAGAGGAAACTTGGGATTTCTGAAACACACAGAAGCACTCAGATATACTGTGATAATGGAGGCTACATATACCTAGACAGATACATAAATGCAAGGGCCTGATCCTATTGTTCTTATGCAGACACAAACTCACATTAGCCCTGTCTTTCTAAAAACTAAATCACATTCCACCTAGTACATTAAAAATAGAAATTTTAGATATTAAATAGAGGAAAATGGCAACGTTTCTGTTTCATATTAGTCTTCAGGGTGTGATAATCATGTGATTTCCTAGTTTGTAGAACCTCAAATTCTAGGCAGTGATTTATCTGGAGAAGAAGAAAAGATATGGTATCGGGATTTCCACCCTCCCTGTTCCCTAGACGTATTGATTTTTCACAGTAGTGAAGCAAGAAACACTAGAACTTTCTCATGAAAATTGGAAGAAACTAGCCTAATTATGCAGATAAATAAAGCTCCTTGACAACCAGCTTAGTTGGAATTCTCCAAATTCAAATGAGTTAATGAAATAATATGCTTTTTTGGGGGGTGGGACAGAAGGATACTAGGAGACTAAAAACATACTAGAGAACTGTCTTAGTAATTATGCGCTATATGGATACAGTCTGCCTGCCCACATACTATGAACTGCAAGATCAGGGCCAAAAGTTCAATGTATAAATACCAGTAGGTGAGTGAAACTACTATCTCATTAGATTGTTGTGAACAGTTAGTTTTCATATCAAGATTTGAAAGCAGACATTTTGCATATTTCAATTTTTTTCCAAAAATTTCACATAGCTATAACTGATAGTTAACCATGCCCTTTTGTCTTTCCCTCTTCTAAGAGCTTATCAACATAAAAAAAATTGTAGACTCATTTATATGCAATAAAAGTGATATATCAATATAGCTTATTCCAGTTCAGGAAGCAAAACAATCCAGGCCAATGTAAGGTACCTTTATGCCAATATAAGTTCAGCCACATCAGAGTTTATACTGGTAAAAATTCACACTGCTAACCAACTTACTTATCATGGTATAACTTTTCTAGTATAGACTTTTGAGATTAGGACCATAGGCTCTTAAGTCATATAGTGACTTTTTAAAATGTTATCCAGTAGCTCATCTGGAAGAATATTGAGGATGGGCAAGAATCCTTTGGATGATATTCATGCTTCATAAATATTTAGACTAGAAAATAAAAATATTTCTAAACCTAAATTTCTTCCTTCAAGCTGCAAATAGGCTAGGAAAGCAAATATTTGAATAGCATGAATGCAACCTGAAAAGTATGGCCCCTTATTGAATTTGCCTATATGGCTGAAGTTTGTGATTTGGGAAATTAATTATTCCATGCACTCATCCCTAGAGTATATACTTATTTGCATCTTTAGTGTTTTCTTTTGTATCTCCATATGGCAATATTCATTTTTCTGCATAAGAGTTCTTCTTTCCCAGCTCTGTAAAGTGTTGTCTATTTCTCTCTAAGCTTCTTCTCACTATAAAGTGTTTTGTGAATTTTTGTGTAAGGAGCAATGTCTTTAAAAAATATCTTCAGAACTGGGTGAATGCCAAAAACACACAAAAAAACTACTTCCCCAGATAGTTTTTTATTTGATTTTTGTTATCATCAATTTCTGTTATGAATGTTCTCTTGACAATGCCATCTTGCTATTTATACTGATCAAAACAGCAATAGCATATCCACTATAAGGGGAACACTTTAAAATATGAAGAAAATATTTTTCAGATTATCTAAAGAAAACACAACTACCTACCCTTAGGCAAGAGTGAATTTTCAATTCCAGGGTTTTCTTTTTCTTTCTTTCTTTCTTTTTTCTTTTTTTTTCTTTTTGCTGTGGGAAGAAAGGTTTTTAACTTGGGATGATATCACAGGGCATTCCAATCCAAAATGTACTGCTTTCTTGTGAAAGATGCACAAAAAATGAGTTCCTGACTCCAAAGATCATTAAAGATCCTTTGGATAGAAATGTAGTAGCACTTGGGGTTTCAGAGCATTTAGCTTCCCTCCAGCATATCACAGTCCAAATGACGCTACTGAGCTCTTTTAATTTATGTTCCTGCCCCAGCAGAGGGTAGCTGAGTTTGTTGCTGTTAAAGAGGGAAGAGGAGGATGTGAGTCTGATCTCTTTTCTGGTTGGGGGTCCATTGTGCCACAGTTGGAATGAAGAGAGCCTGAAAATCAGACTTAGTAGGTGGGAGTTAGGGGAAGACATGAAGAAATATCTTACTTTCCATAAGAATAACATGTGCGTCCTTCTGATCAAAATCCTCTCTCAGGAGATCCTGGGGTCCTGTATTTTTTCTACAGAGCAAACCCAATGGCTCTTCTTCACCTCCTCCTATTGATTTCAGGGGTAGGAGAGGTGGCAAGCAGTCTCTTCTCTTACTCTCCAGATTTTTGTACCCCAGAATGCACAGCATATATAGGTTTCAGAGTAACAGCCGTGTTAGTCTGTATTCGCAAAAAGAAAAGGAGTACTTGTGGCACCTTAGAGACTAACCAATTTATTTGAGCATAAGTTTTCATGAGCTACAGCTCACTTCAGTATGAATCCGATGAAGTGAGCTGTAGCTCACGAAAGCTTATGCTCAAATAAATTGGTTAGTCTCTAAGGTGCCACAAGTACTCCTTTTCTTTTAGCATATATAGGAACTTTATTCTGCACATCAGGCCCCAAGAATGAGGTAAGTGAATCCAATAACAGTGGTGTGTTTACATTGACTTTCCAGTTGAGTAGCTGCCACAAAACAAGGACCCTGCCAGATGTCTGTACTTTTATTAATAATCTAAGAAGGATGAGATATGGTAATACTCCGGATGGTATTTGGTAGAAAATTGTTAGGGTAGGACAAATGTTCTTGCTGTTTTCAAAAGACAGGAGCTTGAGAAATATTCTTCAGGTTTGGTCCTATATTTTTATATAGCACAGAAGATTGAATGGATTTATAATGGAAGAGCAGTCCTTGATGGTAACAAAACTTAGCAGCTATTTTATTAGCACACACATTGTTTTACCTCAATCAGAGTAAGATTTTTTTTCATCTGCAATAGGGTAGGTAAAAGAGCTCTGGCACTGATGCTTAACTGAAGACCCTCCACCATTTTTTCCTCACTTTAAGTATTGTAAAGAAAATAAAGCTGACATTTTTAAAGCCTTATCCTCCCCAGAAATGCTCTCAAAAGAGACTTTTAGACAGAATATAATGTTAGATGTAATTAACCACAGACCATGATAAAATAGCCTCTTTATTTCTAGATTGATTACAAAACCCATAATTTGTAATAACTTGTCCAATCTCTCTTCAGTGAGATAGAATTCATGAAAAAGAAAAGACTCTAAATGAACTTTACTTTCCCTGGGAAAATTTAACTAACTTTTGGTTGGACCCAGGGTTCCATCTGTGACTCATTAATTCTTCATTTGAGAGGCACAGTGCAAAATTCCTATAGGAATTTTATTCCTCTTCCTGCCCTCTTCTGTTGGACACAGGTTCAGAGTTTATTAGTGTTAGAACATCAGGAAAGTACTGAAAGCATGCCCAGAATGAGGTACATTGCATTGGACATGTTGAGCAGGGTCCCAGAAAAAAAGATTTATATATTTTTGAGTTGGGGGGAGGAATAAATCTATATTAAAAATTAATTGGGGTTAAGAGTTCTTCTAGTATCCCCCATTTCTCCCTAATTTATCCTTTCAAAGCCTTCAATCACTGTGATGCTCCTTCATACGAGAAAGGTTACATGTTTCTTGCTGGACATCAGAGCTCTTGAACATCTGCCAGAAGGGATTACTCAAATCAGAGACAATGTAAAATGCTGCCTTCCCTTAGATGAAAAATTGCCCTATATATTAGAGTTGATCAGAAGATTTTTTCCTGTTGAAAAATCAAAAATTGATTGGCCAAAAAACAAAATAGTTTTGGAAATGCTACAGTGGTGCCTCAAGCTGCATCCCCTCTCTAGGCCAGGCTCCCTAGTTGGCCTACATATCAGATGATGCACCATGTTCTCACTTTGTGATGTGGTGGGGGGTGGTACATCATGATGAAACACAATTTCCACGAGACACCAAGGCGGTATAGCTGAATCTAATATTTTCCATGGAAAGTAGACACTTTGAAAAATTGTATTTACTCAAAATCCCAATGTTTCATGGAAACCGTTTAGAGTGGAACATTTTTGACTGACCTACTATATATTCTAAAATGCCCAGGCACATCATTACCATGGTAAAAGATCAGTGCCAATGTTCCATGACTTAATAATAAAATTCTCCTTTAATGACTAAAAATAGCAATGTATTGCTTTATCACCCCATCTGTCCTTGAGACTCCAGAACAAAAACATTTTATTTTGTAGCAGAAAGAATATGATTTGAGTCATAGCAGATGGAAAAAGGCATATATTTCATTGATCCCATAGTAGTAGCGTATAAACAGAGATGGTCATATCAAATTTAGCTTTAGTTTCTCCGTAGGCATGCAAGAGGTTGTGGGGAATGGGGATAATTATGTTTCTCTCGCCACAAGCTGGAAAATTTGGCGATTATCAAAATATCACCTCATGATCAAAACTCTTTTGGGTTGATGATAGAGATGCTGCTGGTCAGTCTATGCTAATGTTTTTACCATGGATAGCTTGGGTGGAGCTCCACCAATGCTAAGAGATTACTTAAAATGTGTGGGGTCAGATCCTAATTGATGCTAAATTTGTTTTGCACTGTTTCTGCAGCACAAAGCAGGCCTAATTCTGATTTCAGTGGCCATCTGAAGATTTGCTTAAAGTGTACAGTAGCACAAAGCCTCTAGGTCTGGCCCTACACCACTCAGTGGAGGGGACTATCTCAAGGCAAGGAGGCATAGCTCGATCACTACTGCATTCTGGCTATCTCCAGCTGCCATAAAAGCCCTCCAGGAGTTATTGTCTTTCGCTATAAATTAGAGCATGTGTGAGGCAACTTCAACTTAATCCCGGCAGCTCCAAGGATTGGGGAGCATAAAAGGTATAGCTGATTTTAAAGTCTACACCATCAACTCTTTGGCCAGTCCCAAAAGCTAGGCCCATAGGGTAGACGTAATCTCAGAGTTAATTCTCACAGGCAGAAATATTTGCAATTTATTTTTTTGTAGTATTGTGGCTACTATAAAGACTTGGTGTTTTGCATAGACTGTGGCTCCATGAAATGTTAACATTTTGTTGGGAATGAGTCTTTTGTACAAAATATTTCTCCCCTACCCCCCCTGATTAAAATAGCTTTCATCCTAACCAGCCTCTTCCACCTACAGTAGAGCTAGACCACAGCTGTACAGTTTTGAATGTCTGCTAAGGAGACTAACAAGGGGAGAATTGACTACAATTCTCTATAAAGACAATGTCTAAGAGCAAGTTAAAAATGACCCCTCTGAAGCTCCTAACGCAGCTCATTCCAGCTCTCGCTTTGTGGTTCGTTTACACCCCCAGCAACTTGCCAAGTTAATCATGCACCTGATGCTAGGTAGGCTAGATAAACCGGCAGGGATATAGTCCAGCTTAGTTGTGGGCAGCAGCTATAGGGCTTCTGGCTGCAGGAGGCAGAGTAATTAACCCTAATTTTAGCAGGCCCTTTGGGTGGGGTCCATTCCCCTTTTCACATATGTACATTTTTGAGAAACTGAAGGTTTTAAACACTCAAAGGACCAGATCCACAAAGATGTTTAGGCTCCTAACTTCCATTGATTTCAGTGGAAGTTAGGAGCCTAAACGCCTTTGTAGATCCGGGCCAAAATGTTTACCCTCATTGCCTGTAAAAGCAGTTTTGTTTTGTATAGCAAAAGGTATGGGGGGAGAACAAACACAGCCTGAAACCAGGATCAGTTGGTGTAGTGTACTCAGCAAAAGACACATACAAATATAACCCCTTAAAATCAGTCCAATCTCTACTGATGAAATTTAAAACCATTGTTGATATTAAAACCCCAAGTCACTCTCAGAGTGACTGGCTAATATTAGAGCAGAGAGATGGTGGTTAAGGGGCCAGACTAGGCTTCAGAGGGTCAGAGTTCAGTCAGCAGCTCTGATACTGGTTTCCTCTGTCACCACAGGTAAGTCATTTAATCATAAAGCTCCCTATTTAAGAAATGGGAACAATAATACTTCCTTTCAACCATATTCTTCTTCTTTGTTTTTGTTTGGTTGGTTTACACTGTAAGCTCTTTGGAGAAGGGACAGTCTCTCACTGTGTGCAGGTACAGTGCCTAACACGATGGGCCCTGTCCTCAGTTTGGTCCTTTAGGTGGTACCATAATGCACGTTATTACAACTGAATACTTACTAACAGTGAGCAGCCAAACAAGAGCACAGTAAAATAAGCAGACAGGAAATGAACCATTTGTTGATGGAAGAGTAAAAACCTCCTCCTGCCTCATCATGAAGAGGCTATGGGTCTTTATTCATACTAATGTGAGGCTGAACTATGCTGAGAGGGCACTTCTAGTATAAAGTGCTTCAGGAAACTATAATTTACTTCTCTTTCCCCCTCTCTCCTCTTACTAATGCTTGGTCTTTGTCGTGCACAGGGAGAGCAGGGCTGTTAGTAGACACTATAAACTCTTGATAAAGAAAATGAACATGGTAAAGGCTGGGTGGAGTGGAAGCAAGGAGGGACGAGAAGCAGAGCTTCTAAACTGCTTGTTCAGCAGGGATTTTCAATCAAGCTGCAGATTTAGCTCATGTAAATCTGACTGTCATCAGACTATCAGCTTCTTTTGGGTCAACAGCATATAGCTGTGCAGACCTCCTAACAATATAGTCCGTGAATGTAGCTCCTGTCAGAGTTTGAAAATGGTTGGCGAG